TGTCGTCAGCTGCGGATCGAGGCGTGGGAGGACTGGCAAGTCTCCTCGGTCCTCTCATCGATCCCAATCCTCCTCGAGCTTGCCATGGTCTTGTTTCTTGCCGGCGTTGTCATTCTTTTATGGACCCTGGACGACATTGTCGCTCGTGTTATCACTGTCTTCGTCTCGCTCTTCGTTGGAGCTTTTGCTGCGTTCACAGTGATGCCGATAGTGTCGAAGCGCTGTCCGTAAAAGTCACCCACGGCATGGGCATGTCTTGTGGCGGCGCATATTGTCTCATCCCCATTCCTCTACGTCTTTCATGGGATCATGTCATTAAACCTGATAGGTCAAATCAGATTTCAATGGAATTACTGCTATCATGACCGTCCCTTCGTGTGGCGTGTTTGGCATGTCCTCGCCAACGCCTTTCGCCGCATCAATTCTTTTTGGCGTGGACGATGGCCTACCATATCGCGTACATGGAGAACCCGGGATCTCGAGATCCCTAGAAGCACGGCAATTAAGAGACCGGACCTCGTCGAGGCCGCGGAACGCGAGCTTGCGCGCATTAATGCCACTCTCGACGAGAGTGGAGCGCCGCAAAATGTGCCCGAACTATATGTCCCCTCCGATGTTGCATGCGGGCTTCTGGAGCATATCGCTGAAATGTCTCATCTCTTGCGAGCTCTGGCCTGGGTCAAACGGTCGTCGCAGAGCAGCCAAGTCACAAGCTACATTGAGGAATGCGCACAGATCATTCATTCTGATACACTTCCTCACACTGCCGTATATGATGAGTGGCACAGCAGCATTCGAGCGATGACGGACTGGTGTATTTTTCTGTCCATCCGGAAGGGCACACTAGACGCGCCAGAGCTGAAGCTGCTTTCCGACCATGTCGGAGATAGAGGTCAGCCCATCTCGACATTCCGGAAGGCGTTGAACATCCGCGCTCGCATAGCAGATGCAGCCTACCTCTACACTCCATGCACATCCGAGTCAGCCAATCTTTTTTGCCGGCTGAGTAACGCCTCTCCTGAGGCCATTGTGCTGCCCTCCGTTTTCGCGCTAGTTCTCAGGGCCGAGTGCGAGTACTTCTCGAACCTTGCCACTGAAGCATCTTCGAATCAGGAGCTACTATGCCAAGCCAGGACGCGGGCACTCAAAGCTTTTAGTCTACGCTGGAAGGTCCCTGCGCAATTGGATGATGCCGAGACATGGAGGAGCTTCTTGGCAGCAACGGGAAGCAATGACGGCGCGAAGAGGCCCGTGTTGCGAGCAATTTCTGTGGACATCCTGTTACTCATTCTACGCAATGGCCGCCGAGTGCAGTGGGACATGGAGCACAAAGGGTTCAGTGAGCTTAACTTTTTCCGTGTATCAGATACTCTAGGATATTGATGCATCGTTGCCAGCATTCGACTCGGAGGGTGAGACCAGGCCTGCTGATTATGAAGACATTCTATGTCATCTTTCCATTGACTCCTATGACAGTGCGATGAGTGACCATATCAACATATTTGTCACTGTCTCAGTCAGGTGGCTTCGGAATGCTTCGCTTTCTGAGATGCCAGCTGCCAAGGTCACCGCCATACTCCAGAGGATGATTAGTGCAGCCAATCTCATCTCAGCACATGACCGACGGAGTACCCACTTATTCTGCAGCGGGGAAGGCGACGGCGGCTGGATAGAAGCGTTGCAAAATCAACTTAAGGATTCATCCCCATACGACAATCTTTTTCTACAGCTTCTCCACGCATTTGAAAGGTCCTACCGCAGAGATGTTCTCACCGGTGATAACAACTGGACAAAGCCATATCTGCATATATCACTTTGCAATCTGCATGCACGAGCAGACTGCAATCTATCATGGTGCTCATGGAAGCAACATTTGTGCGGAGGCGACGAAGATAATTTCTTCTCCGGCTGTCCTTTGCTAGACAAACAAGCGCATAGGCCCAGTGAACCCAGCTCTTGCGACTACTTATTCCCCGAGACATTTGCTACATCCGACATCCTTGTCACCGACACACTTCCTGCGTCGCCATCTGACTTCGACCGTCATTCCATTGGCCCAGAAGATGCACACCAGTCCGCCGAGCCATCCGTGCCAGTTGATTCAATAAACCCAGTGGGCGACAGCACGCAAGAAGACCCATCTGAACGTAACAAGCCGGCCTCTATCTCTGGCCATCCTCCTCGACCCATCCCTCCACAGGTATCCTTAGTGATGTGCGGGCCGGGCCTCAAAGCCTGCGAGCCCGCCAAGCCTGGCCCAAAAAGCCTGACCCGAGCCAAGCCTGGCAGTGGGCTCAAGGCCGGGCTCGGAGCGTAGTCAAGCCCAAGCCCGGCCCGAAAGCCCAGGCTTGGGTGCACTGGCTCTGTTACTATCCCCTGAGTTCAGAATAAGGTGAGAGAGATCCAATATGTACATACCAGACATGATATGGATATTCTAGACTCGACGGTTCCCGCCGAGCACGACTGTGCATCACCGTCTGGTGTCTGCCATAGGCGCGCGCACGTGGGCTTCATTGCAACTCGACTTATTCTGCAAGTGTACGTCTTCTGGAGGCTGAATTCAGTGAGCACATGCAGCAATAATCTACTACATCCAAACATGCTCCCTTTTCATAGCACCAGAATATCCATTGTACTGTGAGCAAGCCCGGGCTTAAGCCTGCGGCTTGGGCCGGGCTCGGGCTCGGCTCGGGCTCAGGCTCGGCTTGACGTTGCCACAAGCCCAAGCCCGGGCTTTGAGCCCAAGCCCGGGCCCGC